CATGGAGCTTGCACGTGAAATATTGATTTTATTTCACGTACATGTTTTTCGTGGATCCACCGTCAAAAAAGTGCTCTTTTAAATGCTTTCGGAAAACTAGAAATGCTGTAATCGTAGAAATAAGTTTAATGCTGTTCATTCGAGCGAGCATAGCCAAACGTGATTTTCGGCGCATAAAACCCTTTGTTATTGCAAGTCGATGGTCGAGTTATTTATGTTGCAATTGAAGTAAATCATAAACGGACAAGAAGGAATCAATGGAGAGGGACTCGATCAAATAAGCTTCCTATTATCCAGGAAAATTACACGGCTTCATTCGTTTTTTGTTAACATACGTTACATTGAAAGTTGTCACGTATTTACCATCTACTAGTGTATTGTAACGTAATTGAACACTATAAAGCTTATCGAGAAAAGTACAAAGAAAGAGTTATATCATTAGTCAGTAAGGAAATGTGTATTTTATTAATGAGGAAATATCTGTTTTTACTTTAGGAGCGTTGATGTTGAAGTACAGAAATACCTTGTAATTAAAGAGTGTGGAAATTTTGATTAAAAGACAGAAAAATTGGTTTTACACATCTAAAATTGCAAATATTAAGAATTTATATTTCGTAAGCTGGAAAACAACACCAATTGATTTATGAGAAAAGTGAGAGTTTTTACTTCGATTACTGCTCGTTTAGATTGTATTTATTATTACAGAATATCCTGTTTCCAGGTGGCGCGGAGAATATTAACGAAATTTAGTGATTATTTGCACTTAAGATGTTGTGATATGGAATTGTTTTTTCGTATCCACATTGTTCACCCATTGCTGTCCCATACAAGATTGTCGAATCGGCTACCGTCGGATGAACCGTAAGAATGTTACAATGGCTGTTCAATTGATTGGAGTTAAATACATGAGGTGTTGTAGGTAGCGAGGGTGAACTCAACCTTCGAACAAATGTTTTAATATGACATTGTCAATCTACATCAGAGAATCACATGATTTACTAAACGCAGTTCGACTTTCTTTATCACGGAATAAAAACAACCTTTGTCATAGAAAAAAAAGAGTTCGTCTCGTGCGGACAGCGCTAATGATTTTCTTGATCCAGGAATATGTTTGGTTCTCCTTCCTCCCAGGAACGCTCCACGCGGAGGAGAAGCGCACAGGACAGAAGTATGTTTCATAATACGTAATGCGGAGATCGTGAGTCCGTTAGAGTATTTGAATGACTATTTTGGGCTTTCACTCACGTCAATTATGAGCAATAGTGACGTCAGTGTAGAGTATGTTATATCCAAAAAGATTGCGGTGTTCCTCTTCTTGAAGAACGCTATATCCGCAGTCCCACAAGTCGCACGGCGGGCTTCTCCCGCAGGTGTCTCCGACAGCGAGGAAGCACCGCACCCGGAAGAGCAGGGTTCACCCGACACTACCCTGTGCGTGTGTAATGCGTGTAAGCGTAATCGTGTGTTAGAGGAAATGAGGTGACTAGGAAGATGAAAAGATTTTCGAGGTTCGTCGCACATTTGTTATGCACTGCTTGTTATGTCCATCTGGTGTCGATTCGACAAATCACGGCTTACTACCTATCGGAGCAGCCGGCCTCTACAATTCTACTCCAGATACCAGCTGAACTCCACCTATCTATGTAGCCAGCCCAGAAAATCCGTCCGAAGGGGACACTGTAACATATTAGCCAACGTGCCTCGTGGCATCTATTTGGGGACGCTTGGTAAGGGATTAGTAAGAGGAAACTCCTCGCCACAGGAAGGAGAGAAGGGTTGTTCGGTAAAACAAGAACGCGATAACGGGAGACACAAAACTTTGGGGTCTTCCGGTCTTTAGAAACCCTTAATTGTTAGAACAGCGGTGGGGGTGGCGTGACGTAGTAGGTCACGTGGGCCTCGACTATATAACGGAGTGTACAGAGCCAGTGGGTAGGTTCTGGAGACAGTGGGAGAACCTCGTGCAGTTGCACAAAACTTGGCGCCACGACGGTGCTGCGACGGGCATGGCTCGCGAGGCAAGTCACGTGTTGACGAGCCTGTGGAGGACTTTGTGTCCTTGGGTGACTGCGGTCACGTGGGAGCGATGCTGTGTGCGTGCTCCGAGGTGAGGTGGTTGAGTACCACGATACACGCCGATTCTCAAACGGGTAAGATCGCTCCTGCGATCGAGGCAAACCATCAGTTGGTACGCCAGTACGGACGTTGTGTCCTAGTGTGACATCCGGTCATGGAAGCTTGGCTTTGTGCGCGCTTCAGAAGTAGGAGTGGCGAATGCCACAATCGCAACCGATCATCAATCGTGTTTGGATTGCTCCCGCGATCAGGGGATAGTAGGTCTATCAGAGCTAGGGTGTGAAAAGAAAATTAATTGTAAATATTTGTTGTGTTTTCTTTGTAAAATAAATATCTTTGCTATATGAAAGCTCTGTGTCTGTGTTCGCTGTGAGAATCCATGACGTCACAATACTAACCTTCCTACCACGCGGACGGAGCCGCTGCAGAGCGTGCGCGTGCGTGCGCAGGGCGCGAGTTCTGGACGCTGGACGGCGGCCCCGGGGCGGCGACGAAGCGGAGGGCGCGCGGCCCGCGGAAGCTGAGCGAGTGGCAGGGCTTGCCTAAGGACCTGGCGGGCCTCGACGCGGTGCTGGTGGAAGGCAATGCCTCCTACGCCCTGGCCGGCCCCCTGCACTGGCGCCTCGACGCACGCTCCATGCGGGTGAGGGCGCAGCGACAGTGCCCTTCAGACCGCACCCTGCACCGGCACCTCGGCTCACACGCCATGCACGAGTACACAAGCGGCTTTGCTCTTCAAAGAGCCCCCTGCACTGGCGCCTCGACGCACGCTCCATGCGGGTGAGGGCGCAGCGACAGTGCCCTTCCGAACGCTGACCTTGGGCTTCGACGCACGCGATATGGGTGAAGACGCAAACTCTCTCTTCTTCAGAGCACTCTACACTTTAACGCTTTGTCACACACCTGAAGCGAGGGAGCGGGCAGTGACCCAGCCATTCAGAAAAAAGGTACAATAGCGCAGGCGCCACGCTCATAAGCAAGCACCTAAATTGACTTCAATGTTAAGCACGAACCTTAATTGATCTTGCAGATAAGTGACGCGCCATCGCACACGTCATGCTTGTCAATACGCAGCGTTCTTGGTTTTCAGAGAGCACCTGCGTTTTCCATCGATGTTCACGCCATGAGAAAGGCCAAGCAGCGGCCATACCCTTCAGAACCCGCCATGAACTTTCACTTCGCCAAACATGCCTTGTATGCGATCACGGGCCTTTCTGCTCGTCAGAACGCTCGGCGCTTCGACGCACTTGCTTCGTGAATGAGCATGCAGTCCTTGGCCTTAATAGCACTCCCGGCACTGGTGTAATGACGTCAACCCTTGCGAGTGAACATATAGTGTTCTTGATCAGAGATCCCCCTCTGTAACGCCTTGACGCGTACACTGTGCACGTGAGGACGCCCAGCAATTGTGTATCAGAGCGCCCTCTGCACTGCAGCTGGATGCTCACGCACTTGTGATGAGAAGCAGCTTGCTTGCCCTCAGATCTCTCCATTCACTGCGCCCTGGCGAGTAAGCCTTGGTGGTGAGCATGAGGTGTCTTACCATTCAGAGATCCCTATGCACTGGCCGCGTAACGCACACTCCATGTGAATGCGAACGCAGTGTTGAATGGCGCTGAGTGATGTCAATTGACGTGGTTTTGTTCTGAGTTTGGTTGAATGGTGCGGAGTGGCCTTCTGCGGCGCTCAGCGATAGTGAGTGACGCTAAGTAGAGCTGAGTTGATACTTTGTGGTCCTGAGTGGCCTTGAACAGCGTTGAGTTGCGCTGACGCAGGTGTCGAGCGACGGTGGCCCGTACCCGCAGGAGAACGGGCGGCGCTGGTTCCTTTGCGGCGACGACGCTGGAGACGGCGACGCCACCGCAGACGAGCAATAAACACACGTCTCTCCCTGAATATCTGTTCTTTTTCTCACGCCCTTCCCCCTTCCTCGCCATCCTACATTCGTCATTCTCGTACGCGTTCGCTCATCGAATCGCCTCTATAAGAAAATGGTCACAGTGCAATCGAGCTATCGGTCGATTGCTACCGGACAACTTCAAGAGAAATCATCCGTTGTATTTTATCCGAAAACACCAGAACGTTGCAATAGAAACCTTTTAGCAGAACTCATCCTGAATATTTCTGTTAGTTCTTCATTTAAAATCTAGCGTCATCGTTAGTGAATACAATGTTTAAGAATATGTGTGTAATTATATATCATAAAATTGCCCTATTGCTTTGAATGTATCTGTGAATCAGGTTTCAAGACAGGCCATGGGCCAATCAGGGACAAAGTAGGCCGCCTTTTACCGTTTTCAAAAGTTGAGGAAATGTTTGAAGACCGCAGGTGCGAGTGAAGGTGCGAGTGGAAAGAATAGTCGTAAAGTTATAGTATAGTATAAAGTCGTAAAGTATATATATATATATATATATATATATATATATATATATATATATATATATATATATATATATATATTAATAATCGCTGACTGTGAACACATTTATACAAGTATCATTACCTGTCGCGCCTCCAATAGAAAAGTGACAGAAGTGCGAATTTCTGATTTCTCACAAATTGCAATTTTAAGTTTCGTAGTTCTGTAATACTCGTTATAGATTGTACCAAACATTCACCTTCTAGTGGACAGTAATTGAACTAATTCAAAATCAACTTCAGAATATTAGCAATACCTCTTGGTAACCTCTTATCAGCTTTTAGCTGAAAAATGACGATTTCGCACTTTCTATTGAAGGTGCGTAGTGATAAAGGGATTGGCAAAAAAATATATGAACATTTCGAGAAAGATGTGGACGTTGAGATCCAAATCAGTACCACAAATATTCTCCCTGGGTCAAAAACGAAGAAATAATACAGATCGCTAGTAAAAAGGAAAAGGTTAACATATTTTCTCATTAAAATAAAATGACAACAAAATCAGTGTTAAATCAAAATATATGGTTTATATTCAAAATTATACATAGTGTATTTCGAGACTTTCAATGTAATTATACATATTAACAGAAAATCCATCTAGAAAAACGATGTTGTAAATATAAATAGTATATTTTTGTGTTCAACCAAACTTAACAAGTATCTTGAAAATATTGAAAGAATACGTTTTGAATATTAATTATGATATGTTTCAGGAATTAATTTGAACCTAGTGGTAAGCTACAGCGGAACCAGTGTACTTGGGCGAGCTCTTACACTATCTTTTCTACACGCTATGGCACGACATTGTAGACTTGTTACAAATAGTGATGCGACATCGACAACAAAACATGGATGTTCAACATTAACATCGACGTTAATAATATATCCACAAAATTCCATAGATGTTTGTGAATATAGATTTTTTAAAGGTGGCAAACTAACCCCATAATATAATAATTGTGGTTAACAAAATTGAATTTGAGAGTGACCGTGATGAATTTATAATTAAAATTTAACTGAAGAAGATAAAAAGCGCATCTTTCATTCTGCAGGTGCGTAATACGAGGAAAGACGAACGAAATGCCGAACGAAAGGTATTAGGACCACGTTAGGAGGGCGTCTGCTCGATGAAGGTAGTACCAAAGGCGTGCGTGGGGTTCGAACACCTACCAGTGGCACGTAAACATCAGTTATTATTTCTTATTTTATTTCTTACAAAATTATGATTATTGGAATTTTTCATCCAAGAACAAATCGTCGGAAACGTAAAAACATCGAGAACAAAACATTGTTCAAATATAGACTTCAATACATCGGTTTTCTAAAACATTGATGTTTTGAAAACATCGGCATCAATGTCGCATCCTTAGTTACAAACTTTCATAGAGGACTCTGGAAGTGGGAGGTAAAGCCAAAAAGCAGATATTGACTCCTAAACTTCTTAGACTGCACGCTGACGAACTTGCAGCACGGTAAATTATTTTTCAAACAGTTCACTTCGTACGATGACAGTCAAAAAATATACTGTCGGCTATTCACGTTCTTGGCGAATTTCGTCTGAGAAACTCAACTGCAGCAGGGTCATCGAAAGGCACTAAATTTCTTTTGACATTTGCTTCCTCTTCGTCGTACATTTGAAGATCTTTGGCATAATAACAAACGCCAATGTCAAGAATGACCCCCACGAGCATCAGACCTGCAAATAAAATGTTAGAACAAACGTTACTCTCACTAGATTAATTGAAGGGTTTCTATTTACGGCTTGGAAAACACGTTGAGGACTGAACTGGGAAAAGAGAATTGACAAATGTTTTCGGCGTTAGAATCTCAAATTCAATAGGTATGGAAATAACGTGAACATTTCTACTACGTCATTTTCATTTATTAAAATGAAGGCAGCGAAAAAGGTCGTTCAAAGCACTCACACTACCAGGAGAGGTGGCTCAAGGTATCAACTGAGGGAGAAAGAGACGGAGTGTGTGAGAGAGAGAGAAAGAGACGGAGTCTGTATGTGTGTGTGTGTGTGTGTGTGTGTGTGTGTGTGTGTGTGTGTGTGAGAGAGAGAGAGAGAGTGAGAGAGAGTGAGAGAGAGAGAGAGAGAGAGAGAGAGAGAAATAGAGGGAGTGAGAGACGGGGTTTGAGTGAGAGAGAAAGACGGTGTGTTTGTGAGGGACGGAGTGAGAAAGGGAGATGAAGGGTAAGACGGCTGCCGGCTTCCGCTAGTTAATGTATATAATAATTATATATTATTATTATTATTATTATTATTATTATTATTATTAGTTTTTAAACATTATCTAATAATTATATGCTTTTTTGTTTCCCCTAATCGGATTCATGGGGTCACGCGTCACTTCCATCCCACCCTTGGCTCAGACCTCATATCGGGTTAGGTGCACTTTTTTAATCTATAGGGGGGGGTGGCATTTTAACTTTTTAACATTTTAACAAAAAAAATTCAATTTTTATAGTTGTTAGCTCTGGGAAATGAAATGAAATTATGATGATGAATGATGAAATAGACACACACAAACATACACAGCCACACAATAAACCCTGCCCGTGGCGGGACCCGCGCCCGCGATGTTCTGGTGCGACACCGCTACGGCACTACTGTCTTAGCAGTCTGGCAATCAGTTTGCTTGCGATAATTTTTTAACAAGTAATGATGCCATTTATTTCCAGACAAAACTCGTACTTACCCGACCCCAGCAAGTTCAAGAGATAACGTAATTTCTGATCGTCATACAGCCAACAGTTCCCGCTGCTTCCGCACGTCTCTCCCCACACAAGGCAAGCAGAATCTGAAAACACACGTCACAATGAAATACATCTCTTACGTTCCGTACATTAAACTCGAGAGACATACGTTATTTTAAATACTAACAATGAAAAGAAAAATGAATTTTACCAGCAACAGTTAACTGAATAGTTGTGTTACTGCTTACTACAATATTTTTTGGTGAAATTATAAGTAAAAAACTGTGATATTACGAGCTCATTTTATCGACCGAGAGTCTTAGAGGTTTAAACATATAAATGCAAATTCCTAAAACTTACAGCTCACAATGGGAATAATCTTATAACAATTTTCTTCGTCACCATCACGTGAAGTGTGAGTAGCCCTCATAAGCAATACAAAATTATAAAACCGTCGGGTCGCTATGAAATCACTGCATGTTCTGGTGCTATTGGAACGAGATCTGACGGTACAATGCGATAGTTTTTGCAACAGGCAGTTCGGTAGGTTAAGTGAGTTAGTATTGTTAGTCATGATAATTGAAATTGTAAAATGCCTTACTTCGCAGCGATTGTGGCCTAGACGTGTGCGATTTCAATTTCTTGGAAACCGTAACATTGAATTACTTTCTCTTATACGTACACAATATTCAGGACATACAATTAATTATAATTACCAATAAGGCGTCTTCATGGTACATCGAAGCCAGTATCGTAATCGAAATTCTTAAATCTTAAGGTTCTCTATAGTAGTCAATGATGCCAGTTCAACGGAATTTCCGGCTGATTGGACGGTTTTTCAGATTATTGATTGTTAGTGATTCCGGGCACGCAAATGTTTAAGGCCACTTATCCCGTAAGTGTAATGCATGCTTTTCCCTCGGGGATGGCGGTGATCTTTTCCCGCTGGGTGGTGGGATCCGTTAATATGAAGTCAGATAAACAAAACCTGTCAATCTAATACTTGTAGTATTGCATAATCGGTGTTGGACTAATTTATTCGTATGAAATGAAGTAATATTGTGAAGTTTCTGCACATTTCTCGCAAGAGCTAACAAAGCAATGGACAGTGGTTTCCTGCAAAATTTCGAGAAATAAATGAAAATGTTTATAATGTGTTTGAGATTCACATAACAGTGTGAATTGAGTTTGTGAAATGGTAATTGTAGGCTATTTGCACCTATTTCCAAACATTTAGAATATTTCATAGCATCAAAAAATAACATTTCGAGGTTGTTTGTCGTTGTGCCTCATTACTAGTAGAAATACTGTAACTCAAGAAGCGTGTTATAATGCTATAAGCGTGAAATAAATACTCACACACATACACACACACACACACAAATATATATATATATATATATATATATATATATATATATATATATTACGATACATTACATACTGACATTACGATTTTAAATATTTATTTAAGATATTTTTATTTTTTAGATTATTTATGTTATCCAGATAATACTACATTTATTTTACTATTAATTAATTGTGTTATTTCAATATTACAATGGCTGCAAACCTGGTTCATAACATAATACTTTACCTTCTTATTTTACTATTATATGTCAACGCGCGACACTGTAATGAGCGGCAATTCCGGGAAGTTGGGCAGTATTACCCTGTTATTAAAAATCTGATGGCAACTTCTATAAATTATTAGAAGTTTTACTTTGATAATAATAAGTTAACATTTATAATACAGATTTACTTTTTTCTCTTTGGGCTCGTTAACGACTTGAATTATCTTTACTTTGTACATTCACAAATTCCGTTCAGTATTCGTTTCGTATAAATGTCCGTAAGCGTACGGAAATATCTTCTTTGCTGGTCTTCAAGATGTCCGGATTAGAGATGGGCTTAACAGCTTTTCTTCAATAACTTATTGAAAAAACAGTCGACTCATAATAACCCGCCTATGTTTTCTTACACTTCTAAGAATTTTTGATTTCGCCATTCATCTTTTGATTTTTTTACCAGTTTTTTCACCTCTCTATTCAAACTCTTATATTCTTTCCTGTCGTCCAGATTTTAGGTCGCAAGCCATTTGCATAATATCTTCTTTTCACCTTCATCTTAGTTTCTTCTTCATTATTCCACCAATATTGCCTAGGTTTTTCTTTACTCTCTTCCCCCTGAGCTTCAAACGCTGCTTCATGTATTGCTGCTTTTAGTTTTTCGTACATATCATCAGTTGTCCCTTAAGGTCGTTCTCGTAATGTATTTGCCAATCTTAACTGATATAGAAATTTGATGGAGTTTTCATTCAATAGTTTTAGCTGATATTTAGGGTAAGTTATACTTTGTACTTCTTGTTTGTTATAATCGATGTTTAGCACTTGCTGTCTGAAGGACAAACTCATTAACCATTCAGTAAGTAATGATTAGAGCCACATTCTGCAGCTCTAAAAACTCTTACATCCAATGCTTTAATGCAAGATGTCTGTCGCATAATTACGTAGTCAATTATTGATTTCTGGTTCTTCGTAGGCTGCACCCAGGTATATTTGTATGTTCATAGAAACCATTCATATTCTTCATATCGTAGACGTTGCATATCTCAATCCATCTTTTTCCATTTTCATTTATGATATATTCTTCAAAAGCACAATTTTTTTGTCCTTTATTTTTCTCCCTACTCTAGCGTTCATGTCCCACATTATTACTATTTCTTTCCTATTACTTATTGATTCGAGAAGAGAGATCCTTTTCAAAATTGTCTTTCAAGTTCTTGTTGGAATCATCAGTTGGTCCATAAACGGAAAGTATTACCATAGCACATCCAATTATTTCCATTTCCAACTTCTTAATTCTTTCACTTATTTCTTCCCAGTTTTTAACATTTCTTTTCCATTTTTTATTTATTGCTATTAAGATGCCCGCCTTTGCTCTTTTATTTTTGAACACTCCAGTACAGAAATGCAAGAAGTTTCGCTCAATTTCTTTTCTTTGCCCCTTTTTCTTAGTTTCAGAAAGAACAGCAAAGTCTATTTTAAATTTCTCCAATTGAACAAACACTTATTTTTCTTTAGTATTTAAGCCCTGCACATTCCATATACCAAAATTCAAAGTCCTTTTTCTCGCACGATTTTGTTTCCATAATTGACCTATCCGAGGCTGAGTGTTGGGACATTTTGCATTTGAATTTTTTACGTAACGTAACGTTACTTTTTTTGAGTAATAATGTTCTATAATCCGATCTATTCGATAAATGCGGTCTGCGAACGCTAGTTTCCTTTCCTTCACGTAAGACTGTGCCATTTTGTAGCACCACTAGTTTTTACCTGAAACTGATCAACATTTAGAGCCGCTTACAGGCGCACGAGTATAATAGTAGCCACAGTAAGCTAAACCTTTCAGAAGCGGCACTTGCCTGCATAACCATGCTGACACTCCTAGTTTTGTTTCATAACAAACTGTTCTGGAACGAAATATTTTGGCATTAAATACGTTGAAAATGAAGCATTGGGCAGTTTCAAGAATGTTTTGTATTGTTCGCTAGGTCGAGGTCGAAGATCGAAGGGATGTTTGTGACCAACTTGGATGCGCTTAGCTGACCCTGACCGTCAACTGCGCGCTTAGCGCCGTTCTCGCGGATGCGAGCTGATTCCGGCAGTCAGTCAGAAGCGCAGTAGCCGATAGCCAGAAACGATTAATTATTGAATTTGGTTTATAGCTTGTTACAAACGATAAGCTGCCTGCGATCCGAACACGGCAGGAAGTCACGCAAAGTCGCGCAACAGTCTGCCGACGACAGCGGTTCCTCACTCTTGACCCGAGGTGGGAAGGCGATGCCTCGTCGCAGTGGCTGAAGGTTCATAACGCTATTCATCTTCACAACGTACGTTTCTGTTAGTGCTGTGCGATACCTAATGTGAAACTTACTCAAACCATTCTTGTCGTAATATAGTACAATCTCTTTGTGATTTCAAATGTATGAGTAAAAATATAAATGCACAAGCAAAGCACATTCATTTTGAAAATGTGGATTCTGTTCGTTTTGTGGTGCCGGGTGAGTGTCAATTCAAGAGTTCTTCATAGGTTGAAGTCGGGTTCTCCAGAGCAATGCAAAGTTATTCATCAGAAACCGTTGTATTCAAAATTAAGAATGTACAAAGAGAAATCTGTTCAAGGTCATGGAAATATGGAACTCATAATTTCCGCATCTCATCGTGTGCTAACGAACACATAACTTTCTATGGTAAAGTGCTGTACATATTGCAGTTTTATATTCAGTTTTAAGTTTAGCTATACTTGCAATTCTAATTCAATATTGAGAACATATTTTAAATTTAATCACTCCTTTTACTTCCCCTTTCCATTTTTATATATACAAATTAGTTTTGCCCTAGATTTTGCACAATTATCTATTCTATTGAACTACCAGAGAGCCCCAGAGCTTGCAACCAAGCGAAACATTACTGTTTTCAAATTATGCACGGCACATGGTAGCCCGTTTTTTCGACATTTTTTGTACTAAAATAATGAAAATATTACTGAGGCAACTCCGTTTCAACTTGTGAATTACTCTGTTTAGAGAACGGTGTAACCAAAGGAGAATTTCATCCAATACTTAAACCTCAAAACTGCGTCTGCCGAGTATAGTCGTTGAGGTGAATGATTCTGCACTTACCCAGCACTAAGCCAAACACGATGGGAGCGGGAATGAAGGCAAGCGCGCACACCAAGAATTCGCTGAATGCGATAGCCAGAGGTTTGTCGTCTTCATGAACGCATCTGCAAAACAGGACACAACTCGCTACAATCAGAGAAATATTAGAGTAACAAAAAGATTTTAAGTTTTCAAAAAAATTAGTCTCGATACTTTGACAGAAAGAAGTTTTGAGGTCCCCGACACTCAAAAGGAGTTTTTTTCTACTACTATTGTATAGTTCTCTCATTTCATGGCTGCAAACCCGTTGCATAGAGTAATGGTATATACCTCCTTAGTCTATGCCTGTTGCATAATGTCTATGCTTGTTGCATAAATCGTAATAAACATTACGATACAGGTTCTTGACCCATCACAGAGAAGTTTACAAACCAAGTATTGACACTCATTGACAATCGTTCTAATAAATGTGTCGTTCGATTGTGTAAATTAAAATTGCATTTAATACTATATTACGCTTCTCAGAAAACAAGTCATTTCATTGAGCTGGAGGCTAGCTTGAAAACGTGCGAGGTATTAGTGGCAGGCGATTTCAACGTTCAGTCCTCCGAATGGGGAGAGACGCGCTCCGATAGAAGAGGAACTATCATATGTGAATTCATTGCAAGAAATGATCTGATCATCTTAAATAGTGGGGATGTGTACACCTTTCAACGTGAAGCCGCATCATCTATTTTGGATTTGTCAATAAGCTCCACTAAGCTAGCTAACGGCATCACTGATTGGTCAGTGCTCGACGAAGAAACCCTGAGTGACCATCGGTACATAGGATATTCGAATCCATTAACGGAGGGGCTGCAACATGTCAAAACGCGATATAAAGGAAGACCACCTTGGAATCCCAAAAAAATTAATGAAGACAAGGCAAAACGCTCCTTGGAGAAATCAAGGTTGCTGGTTAACATGGGTTGGACAAAAGAAGTGGAAACGCTTGAGGATATGGTCAAGGCAACGGAGGAAATAGTAGTAGCAGCTTGCGATGCATCCATGCCTAGACGTATATGTCCGAAGAGGAAACATCAAATGTATTAATGGACACCAGAAATAGCCGAACTACGAGGGAATTGTAACAAGGCAAGAAGAATAGCGACAAGGGCGAAGACGAATCTGCACCTCAGGGAACAGTATAAAGAACTCTCCAAATGGCTTAAGAGAGAAATAAAAAGAAGTAAAGGCAGAGGCTGGAAAGATATCTTAGAACAGATAGATAACGACCAATGGGACATGACTTATAAAATAGTAAATAAGAAATAGAGGATGGACTGGAAGATATCTGGATCGAATGACTCGCAATAGATGAGGAAAGCTATCAGCTATCTCTTTCCTCCTAGAGATCCTTGGACAAGACAAAGACAGAGCGACTTCACGGATGACGCAGCAGATTACTTCACGATAGACGAACTGAGGAGAGCGGCGAAAAGCATGAAAACTGGGAAGGCCCCAGGTTTCGATGGAATTCCCAGTGAAATACTAAAAATAGTGGCACAGGAGTATCCGGAATGCCCTTTGTCAATCTATAATCCGCTGCCGTGAGGATGGGATATTCAAGACGTGGAAGAGACAAAAGCTGATACTCCTCCGAAAGGTCAACAAGCCGGTAGATCAGACGTCATCATACAGATCACTGTGCCTCCTTGACACCATGGGCAAGCTGCTTGAGGGTTTAATACTCTCTAGGCTTGAGGAACTCATTTGTTTTTCTCACAGGCAATATAGATTCCGGAGAGGCCGCTCGACGACGGATGCCATCCTGGAAGTTATCGATAAAGCAGACGCAGCCAGAAGAGGAGTCGGCAAGAAGAAGGAATTCTGTGCGCTCGTCGCAATTGACATCAGAAACGCCTTCAGCTCGCTTGGTGGAAGGACATTATAGAAGTGTTAGTTAACAAGATGATTCCGGAATATCTCATAAGGCTTATCGAAGACTACCTCCATGAAAGGACGATAACTTTTGTGGACAGTATCAGGATAGAAGTGAATGTGACGTGCGGTGTTCCTCAAGGGTCCAGACTTGGGCCATTTTTATGGAATGTCCTGTATGATGACATTCTAAGCATTGACCTGCCGAAAGATACGCAGCTCATAGGCTACGCTGACGATACGCTAAAAATAAGCCACAGCGTTGACATTGAACTCCTCGAATTGAGAGTGAAGGAAGCGCTGTTTAGGGTTAAAAGATGGTTAGATAGACGATAGCAACAGATGGCAGTGCAAAAAACCGAAGCTGTCTTAATCACCGACCGAAGGGCATTTCACTACCCAAATCCCTGATTGGGAGGGGAGAGAATCAGCTGGAAGCGCCAGATACGATATTTAGAAGTCGAAATAGATCATAGACTCAGCAAGGGGCCCCACATAAATGTGATGGCAGAGAAGGTGAGGACGAGGACAGTGGACCGAGAGAAGCCAAGAGAAGAATTATATCTGTCGTAGTTCTCTCACAGTTGTATGCTGCTCCAGTCTGGGCGGGTTCGCTGGAGAAGCTGTCTATCAGACACAAGAAGGAGGACGTACCTCGTCTTGAAGGAAGCACAAGCAGTCATCTCCCTCCCAAGCAAATTGAGAGTGTTAAAGCAGAAGCATGGGAGTTGCTCCTTGAAGAATGGCCAGGAAGATGGGATGGGGATGTGAAAGGCAGATGGACTCATCGTTTGATTACAAACATCGAGAGATGGATTAGCCGAAGTTTTGGGGAGGTGGGTTATGACCTGTCCCAGGCTCTTACGGGACATGGGGCATTTAATAAATTTATGGAACCTACGATTTCAGAATCGTAGAGAGGCCCACGTGTAGTCTCCGTCACGCAGACATAGATGATGCGGAACACACACTATTTCAGTGCAAGGCATGGAACGCGAAACGAGAAGTTAGTAATGCCAACCTCCAACGAGTAATAAATCGAGACAACATGGTCGACATGATGCTGAGCTCGCAGGAGAAATGGAAAACCATAGAGAACTTCATAGGTAGTATTATGAAGAAGAAAGAATTAAGAGAGAGGAAGTAGAGCATTTACTACCAGCCAATCTCCTGCGTGAAGTAATGTCTAACGACGGTTTCCGCGTGAGAGAGAATACGGTTTAAGAGACGGAGGTTAGGTTTTTAGTCGGTAACCTAGTTGGGAGTCCGACATCACCAGCTTCACTGGTATCCATAAAGGATTTTCCTCCTCCTTAAAAGAAATAAACAAAGAGCGTTTGTGAAAATAGTCAACTCATTATTTTCATTAAAATTAAATAAAATAATAAATAAATAAATAATTTAAAAAATAAATATCAAATTGGTATAATTTTATAACAAACATCTTTATACTAAAGAATTTAAAAAGTGTAATGAATTGGGAAGAAATGCACTGAGCCATCCTTTGTGCATTTGAAAAAGAAGTCCGTTCAACACATAAAATCAAAATACAGATGAATGATAGTAAGTAGGTTGAAATATTAATGAAGTGGTTGAATGCATCATTCAGAATTTTTATAAAAACGTTTAGTTGAGAAACATCAATAATTTTCAAGATGTTTTTAGTCCCGCAGTTGAAAAATAATTTCAGAAATGGTAGATTAATATTATGAAATTCTATTATATTTTATATTTCTTACTCTAAGAATTCAAAATTAACGATTAGATTTTCCTAATTATTACATGTATACGAAGTTCTTCAATTGCCATCATTGCATTGTTCGATTTAATGGGATAAAAGTAGACATACGGATTTAATCATAATACATACCTTATCTGTATAAGAATGTTTCCAGCTTTGCCTGAAGCGCCTAGGAAACTTATGATACATTGTGATATCAAGAAGATAGTGAAATTTGTGGCGCAGTCCACAGTACAAGGTCCATCAGTTGCAATGCCGCTAGGAATACAGCTGCAGTTGTGGAATAACTGCGCATAAATGTTTATAAGTGATACCGCATTAAGATTAAGAAAGAAATACTTCACAATCTATTTTTAAAATGAAAGTTACAATAAAGTTACATAAAACATAGGAAATAATACGCAGTTTTGTCACTGTGATTTGTTCCCTTCGAGACAATAAAAGTGGTGTCACACACACAATTTATCATAAACATTTTTGTAAATGATGTTTTGACTGGTACTCAAAGAATTCACTGCTTCGGCTTGGAATGGAAGAAGGATCTCCCGGTGTTTTTCGCCCATTTTCTGAAATGGTTTAAACAAACAAAATAATTTATAACAATTATCGTACCAGGTAGCTTTGGACTCAAAGTTGGTTAGAGAGACCTATTCCCACGTAATTGTTTAACTTGCAACTGACTAGTTGGTGAAAAGTATAAACTGGTGGTGCTACAACAGAACATGCTTTTTCGCGATAATTGGAAAAAGTTACGTAATATTGAAAAATTGCATTTTCTGCGCTACTAACACCTTAGCTGTTGTTGAAAACGTCCCATGTAAACAAAGCGCCTGTGATGCATATCTGCATTCATTTTGATAGTCAGATGCAGTAATAATTTCTTACTTTGACAAATGAAACAAACAGGAATACTGTTGAATGTAAGTTACTTACAGTACCGAACAAATTAATCCTAACACACACTGAAACTTCTAGAACATTTTATTTTCACACTGGAAAACATACCAAACGTAACATTTTCTTGTACTTAATAATTTAAATGTCGTCATTTATAAGTTCATTTATTCTCTTAGGCATTGACTCTACTAGAGCTAAACACTGTTATCTGAATTCTTCGTTACGAAATCAGACACTGGCAAGTGACTTAATGAGGATTACTTTGATATTCTTAAAAAAACTAGATTTATTTGATGTGTCACAATTTGATATATGAACAGGTGCGGCGAGAAACATCTGTAGTAGTGTAGTGTGGTCGAGCCAGTATTGTAGATTAGAAGGACGCGAGTTCAAATCCTAGCAACGTTGGCTAATTTTTACCACCATGATACTATGTTAAGAGTGTTATGTAATGATGCAGGAGAAAGTTACGAAATTTTCACCGTAAACAAGTTTTGTATGTCGTTCATTCGAAAAAAAGTGGAGTTTCTTGCTCATATATTACTATACATAGAGCTGTCAAAATACTTATGTTTTAAGTGTTTTTGAATCTGAAAATGTGATTTTCGGAAAACCTCTTTGTCAGTACATTTATTTCATTTATTCCATTTTCCATTAAGAGTAATTCAAGAGTAAACAGGATTTCTACTAAAATGGACATTCATAGAATGATCTGGCTGATGTCACGAATCCTCGAATTTAAAACAGATCTTTAAATATTAAGGGAACTTAACATCAGGCACCAACATATTGTCGAAATTCTCTCAAAAATAGCTCCAATTTGTTCCTTTAAATATTTTCCTAAAAAATAGAGCAAAAGACGTATAAAATGACGCATATCCAATTTTCGGCGAACGATCTGAACTTTCAAAAAATTTAAACAAATATTAATATTGTAAAAATACAATATTGACAAGAGAGATTTTTCATAATGAAATCACTTTTTAAAAGCAGATGTTGAATTAATGTAATTGAAACACTGAATTTTGAAAAATCCCAGCATGGAGTGAACATTTTTTGCTGGAAAGATTTTTTTTTGCCAATTCTCGTAGTATTGTATATTGCATAGCCATTACAAATAAGGCGTGAAAGTATATGGTGTTGCAGCCCAACACAGTGTCTAAATACTACGTATAGTAAGAGAAACTTTATTGAAATGGTTGAATTGAGATAATTCACGTTGCTTGTATAAAGTCAAAGTTTATGAAATTGAAATCAGTAATATCGTAATAGGTTGTATTACGATCCATGTTGCATTAATAATAAAAATAATCATTTGTGTAATACTAGTAATATTATAATAAAACTCATGGTATATGTACTATCATACGTCATCTTTCACATGACGAAGAGTCAAATTTAAGCAAGACGTATAGTTCATTTGAATTTTGAATGGAATTCAAATGGTAACATTATATTATAATATTCGATTGTTTATTAACTGAGGCTTAAACGTCTCGTTTAAGAACTCTCGTGATTAAATCCAAATGTGATTAAATCCAATTCGAATGAACATCTCAAGCTGTGACATTTGATACTGATGTAATCAAGGCTTCTTCCATTCGTTCAAGTAAACCCAGTTTGAAAACGTTTGGTTTGGACTATTATATACCCGGGAATATCTTTCTTCAGTTATCCGAGTTTAGTTTGACCGAAACGGCAAAGGAGCTGGGGTTACGAGAACCTTAGATTATATACAACGGCTGACATTACAATTTCTGAGCGATGAAATCAAATAGGCTACTCAGGAATTCTGTGGTGAACATTTGTAACGCGTAAATATTATTTGAAGCAAGTACCATTAAAATAATAAAAAAAATCAATGAAATCAGCTAAAAATGCATTAAAAGTGTCGGAAAAGTTTAAAAAAATGACAAATTACTCAAATTAAACGGAAAATGCAAAAACAAGAATGACGTATAAAATGGATCATTTCCCGTTGTCATATAAAATTAATATCTATACTAAACACCATTGTTCTAAAGTAAAAAGAGAAATTCACATTTCATTAATATTCGCCCTAAATAATAATAATAATAATAATAATAATAATAATAATAATTAAGAACCTAATAACGGCATAAATATAAACCTAGGTACCATATTAACATTACTGACGAAAATGATACTGACAAAATGCAGTCGTACTTCAAAATCAACGAGGAACGACCACGATTCAGTACAAACATATCAACAACAGACGCAATATTTATAGACCGTCAAAGAATCGAGAAAGCGATCCAATACAACAAGCCCGCCTTCTTGGCTTTTGTAGAACTCAATAAGGCCACGAGAAGTTATCATAATTTTGAGGGACAAATTAAGTCCTAAAAATGTTAGAAATCAATGAAATTATTCCGTGTGGCCCACCTAAGATGTTCCCTTCAATTTTCTCCTCAAACGTTGCAAATACTGAGATGTGTTTTTCACTAAAACTACTACATGCAAGGGGCACATATGGTCATGCATAATATTATTCTATTGCATTATTTATGGCAGAAATATTGACCCAACTTCGATATTTTAAATGCAACCTATAGATTTTTTAGCTCATCATAACAAGCGTGAAGAGACGAGATCATAAATATGCATATCGCCGTATGTTACATTACACAATTTTCGAGAAATTAAGAGTTTTAAAGACGCACGCCGACTGTTGGTTTCCGTAATCTGAACGAGAAATTCCGGGTGATATGCAGCGAGGTCATTCCCTTCCGTTGCGTCGACCCTGCGGTAAATGTTGTGAGGCAAAGTGCAAAGGAGCTCACGAAAATCCACGATTTTCTCTGTACGGTAAGACTACACCATCTCAGTCCTTGAGACAATGTATTCACCCTCAGCCATGTTCTGAGCAAATCTGTACGCCACAAGGTACTATTTTTTAATTAATTAAATACTACAAGATTTGAGAAAATATTTGAATTATTAACCGTAGAGAAAGCAAGGGAAGATTGGAGAGTGAACATGTTCTGAATTAATAAATGCGTGTGCTGTCAGAAACAAAACGTTTACTCTTTGAAAGACTTAAAACCTCAACCGGCACAAAAATATCGTGTAAATAAAAGTAAGAAAAATACTTTAAAATACAGAAACAAAAGGTTAGTTAACAATTCTAGAAATAGCTTAATTTATAACATGTACTCAATATGTGCACCATCAACAGATATACACATTTGAAGACGCTTGCAAAGAGACAAAGAGAACAGAGTTCCATGTGAAATGGCATGACAAGATGCGATAATGCAGCGCCTCAGATCTTCAGATGTTGTTGGTACTTGTGAGTAACTTCGTTCTTTATCGTTCCCTAAAGAAAATAGTCCTGGGGCGTAAAAGCAGGTGACCTTGCCGGCCAATTTACTACAGCACCGCGCCCAATCCATCGGCCGGGGAACTTTTCATTCAGCACTTGCCTAGCTACAAGCGCATTGTGGGCTGGACATCCGTCATGTTTCATCCACATACAATTTCTCATATCCAGGGGAATTTCCTTCAGAAGCAGCGGCAATGTTTCTCGAAGAAATCTTGCGTATTTGTTTCCTGTCAAATGAAATAGGGAACACTGATGGTGTCGTTAAGAATACCGCACCAGACATTAATACTCCACTGCTTTTGGTTCTCAACTTCACGAAGCCAGAGAGGATTGTCCACTGCCCAATAGTGCATGTTACGTAGATTCACCTGACTGTAAATTTTGCCCCATCGGTAAACATAATCTTCTTAAAAAAGTCCTGATCATCTCGCACGTGTTCCAGAGCAAAAACGCAAAACTGAAAACATTTCTGGTAATCACCATCATAAAGCTTCTGGTGCAACGAAATGTGGTAAGGGTGAAACTTGTTAGTCTTCAAGATGCGGAGGGCTCTCGAACGACTGATGCTGGAATCTCTGTCTCGAGAGCTGATAAGGGGATTGTTGTGAACAGCTGCAAGAACGGCAGCCTATGCTTTCTCATTCGTTGCCCTTTTGCTCCGCAAACGAGTCTTTGCAAACGGAAACCAGCAGTCGGCGTGCGTCTTTAAAACTCTTAATTTCTCGAAAAGTTTGTAATGAAACATACGGCAATATTCATATTTATGAATTCGTCTCTTCTCGCCTGTTATGACGAGCTAAAAAAATCTATAGGGTTCAATTTCAAAAATCGAAATTGGGCAATATCTCTGCAATGATTCATAAGGACAGCAAAGTATATATTATGATAGTTTCAACAGAGAAAACCTAATCGATGGCAATATCCAAAGAGCATGTAAGATTCAAGTTAGAAATAAAAGACGATAATCATTTCGGTTAATACTACTTTAATCATATAATAGTAATGTAGCAGCGGGATATGTCGATAATAGAGAAAATGTAGTAATAAAAACCTTAATAATCAAAATGAATTTTAATTAAGCAGTTGTTCTCTTTATCTTTATAATTTGAAATCAGAAAAACCTGAAATTATATTAAAGAACAATAAAGTCATGGTAAAAAGTTGACAAATGCAACCTTTGATGAAAACGTTCATATTGTAAAATTTTAAATTAAAGTGTTCTGCTTGCCTGCAAAGTAAGCTAGCACAAACGCGTCATCGATATTGGTTCAGTACATTCGATTATCACGCCATAATTCAACGCAGTTGTCTCTTTATAGTATATTAGAATTGTAACCCCTTGTCCGTTTTACCTTATCTGCCACCTAGCTCAGACGGCGGGGGGTACCTGCAATTGAGCGAGATGGATGGGTGTTGTTATTTTATAATGAAATAAACTTCAGTTTTACCGTATTCCACTAACTAAATGTATTCTTGCTAATGAGCGGCTGATAACCGTTGCCTGAATTACAGAACAAATATTAGAGCAAGAGTCCATTTTTCAATATTGCCTGAAGGAACCATTGGCAGGCTCTGCGATGACATCACCCGCGTTGTTGTGACAGTCATTCGTCCCTTACACCTGTTTCGTTCTTTCACCACGCAGCCCGACCGTCTGACAAGAGCAACATCCCGACGATTCTGGGACTGCGGCGGAAGTTCCAGCTGCAGGAGGCCGGCGGGCTGAATCGCTACCAACACCGCAGTTCACCACATTTCCGTCCACAAATACACAATATTCCTCAGCTCTCACTTTCAGATACTATGCAGCAGGCGCTCATAATGTAGTCCATTCTGGTAACGGTGACAAATTTTCGTAATACTTGTCGAAACTTTACGGAATTGTGAAATTCCGGAAGCCGTGTAGCGCAATTTCAAATTTTAAAATTACGCAAGCAAATATGAGTGAAACTTTATTACATATTGCTTCTAAAGGGAGGATTAACAAACAGTAAAGTTTGAAACGCGCATTCCAGCGTTCGAAAATGAAGTCAAGTGCAAGGCGGCTTAACAAGAAATCAAGTGCTGCTGCGGGCGGTGGTCTGATAACTGTGCCCGGAGGTTTGTAATGAATCTCCGGCGGTCTCTGTATATTATAATAATAGGTAATGGTTATAAAGATATATAGAGATCGACATACAGACAATAGACAATAAGTTCAAGGACACAGGATTTCTATAGACAGCATTCTGAAATTTCACACTTTTGATTTCAAATAGCTTTTTGGGGTGCTTCACAGTTTATAAGCAGCTATATTATGTATTACCCTTGTGCCGTTGGCAAATTGCATTGTGGAATTGCAGCCAGCGTGGCATGGAGAATAGAAGGATGCATCTCGTTCCAAAGAGCAGACGGGTGAAAACTTCACGTCGGGGCCGCATTCACAGTGTGAATTACACTGAGCAGTGAGGTTATACCTAAAAAGACAGAATGATGTTCACGACATTGCCCTTTAATTAATTACACATCGCGACGACAGTTGTTCATGCAGTGAAACTTAAAGCCCTTTCACATGAGCCTCCCAGCAGCCCTTACAAGTGGTGCATCTGCTGGCAAGGCAGCCGTTTCCCGGCTTGTGAATGTCACGGGAAAATTAACCAACGTACTAGAGTTTGCGGGCACTGTTTCCCGAACAACTGGCGCGAGATCTAGAAGTGAAGGTTGTACAAATTGCTCCGGAGGGGCGGTATTCGTACATCACTGGATGCCTGGGCCACGGCCGCCTTTTGGGTGAGTTAGCGCAGTTAGTGATCCAAACTATGTTAATTCCCATGTCCTCTACTAAAGTAGAGAAATTATACATTACAATGTAATAATACATCAGTCAAGTTTCAAATGTTCAATTGGGAATAGAATTAACCTTATTGAATCGGATGTATCTTGATTTCGTAATCAGTTTTCTTAATAGTGCAATAATTGCCTTAATTTCATATATTCAGATTAGAAGGTTTAAGAGCTGTCCGTCCATGAGCGAGAATCGGTAACTTGCCAATACTTATTCGTAATATTTCGCATTATTGCCACGTACACAAATAACTGGATAATTTAATAAAACATAGCATAATTTTCCATTCAAATATATTCCTTTCGCTTGTCAAAAATGTTTATAAAAGGCAGAATTTAAACGAAAAATGAACATGAAATAGTAATAATAATAAAAATAATAATAATAATAATAATAATAATAATAATAAATAGTAAAGTTTCTGAAAATAATAGAAATCTTGGTGGTTTGATAGAATAAATCTGGTTAAAAGATTTTTGTTTGTAGGCAGAATTTGTAGGCTTTGCGTAGCTTCAGCCCGCGGGTGCACAACCCTCTGCGGATTCGGAGGGGAAGCGCGAGCGGGTCCAGGGGACTTGGTCGTGCTCGCAGAAGCGGTGTCTGCAAGCGGGCAAGCCGACCGCGCGGACCTCTTTCAATGGAGGACAGTCGAGCAGCTGTGGCGACTGCTCCAGTCACCGCCAGCAGAACACCGTTCTCAACGGCAGCCGTCACAATAGACTACTTGGACGCGCCACTGAAATTGCTTTTGCCTGCCTTGCCGCCGGCGGAGCCAACAACGGCGTAACTCACGAATCCTTTCCTTAGGCCTCTTTCACAATGCAAACTTGAACGTATTCGCCAAACCTAGAAATTACTTATTAAACCTAAAGATCATTAAGAAATATAGGCCAGAATCGGGAAATTTCAAATGGATGATATGATTGGTAAATGCAATGAGGGTCATGTGCTAAATTATAACGAAAAACACTATGCGAGACTGCTTGCTCAGTAATCTTAAAGTTATACTAAATACTACTATGGCAAAGCATCAGCGGTCCTGCGGCACACTACAGCGACGGTGGGAGAGGCCGGCCTGTCGAGCGCAGCCCTGACGACGCCCCGCCGACGGCGCTTGGCAGTATGAGAGTGGCGACAAAGCGCTGTTGGCCAGGTGTCAGGTCGCCCGCGGCGGCCGCGCGAGCAGCAGACGTGAACGTGACGCGGCCATTGAGGAGAACCGCCTCTTTTGCTACTCGCCCGGGCAAGTTAAGAGAAGGCCAAGACTCGCTCCGCCGGCTTTAGTACTATAAATCCGCGTGCCCTCCAGGCCGGGCAGTGAGAGTGCAATCGTGCTCAGTTGGTGCAAAGTGATAGTGCGACGTTGCCGCCCGGACGGTAGTGATTAATTGTGCGACATTACGTGTGACATCTCAGGGAACTTAGTTACAGTTAGTAATTGGTTGTAAAAATAAAGACAGGTGTTAATTATACGAACTGTTCTGCTTTCCTCCCTGATTGTTCCTAAATACACAATAAATACCTTCATTCCACACAAATAAATACATAAGTACGAGTACACGTGATCAGAGCGTGAACAGAGTAGCAAGTTAGATTACCTCTTAGCGGATGGAAAAAAATTAAAAATACTTCACTGACGTAAGAGTATATAGAGGATGGGATATATATAGTAACCATTTTGCATTGGTTGGTAAATTGAAACTGAACAATAATTTTTAATTTCTTCACATCAAAACAGATCACAAAAAAATGATACAAATTTTTTCTAATTTTTTGATATTTGAATTTGGCGTCAAAAATAATACTTGTATGGCAAATTGATATGATTTTCATCCTGAAAAATTTTCAGTAGTATAAATGACTAAAAGAGTTATTATTTTTTCAAAGTGCCGCACCAATAAGTCTGAAAAAAATAATAGTAAATAAAACTTTAATACCAATTGGCATTTTGTGGAGTAATGAACCCACAAATAAAACACAAAATCCAAATAATAATTTTTATAATTAAAAAAATTTATTTCGCCCCAAATTGTTTTACAAATGTTCTTCAATACACGTATAGATTCCAACTGTGTCTCACAATTTTGTTCAGAATTTTATCTCCTAGTTATGCTATGAAAAAAAATTAAAAAATCGTATTGTTTCTGATATTCTCAAAATAATCAGGCTCTCCATTCTGAGATTTGGGGAAAATTACTTTCAAAATAATATTAAACATGTTCTTTATTCAAAACTGAATTAAGCTTGGGGGCATTTTGACTTCCCTTATCCTGTGTAACCTTTAAAGAAACGAAACGACTCTTACACTTTCTAAATGTATGTTGAAAACGTGTGCTTCTGACGCAATAGTGGAAAATTGCAGTACTACGTCCTATCTTTACGAAAGGGGTCCGACCGTCCCGTGAAAATTTAAGAGTAATAAGTCATACAATATCTATTAAAAATAATCGGCTCCAGAGTAGGTAATATTGCAGAGACCATTAGCAGAGTTATTGAAATACCAAAATGGATTCAAAAAGGTTAGGTCTTGCACAAGCAGATAATTGAGAAACTGAGAATTTAATAAAATAACACACATGCTCTTCGTGAATTATTCTAAAGCTTGTGACACCGTAAATAGAATTACTCTAATGTAGGGCATAGTAAAGGTCTCCCACCACATCTGATATCGGTGATAAGGAACCTTTGTATAGTAGACCTTTTTATAAGAAAGAGATAATTAACCAAGGAGTAGGACAAGGATGTAGTCTATCCTAAATTCTTTTTAATTTATATTTAGATGAAGCATTAAATATGCGGATATCCAGACTAAAATATTATAGTAATGTCATGAAACAAGAAAGAAATGTAAGGACCATATTATTTGCGAACGACCCACATATAATAGCAAATTATGAATATATCTTCCAGAAATCTCTGTTTGAATTACAAAAGGTAACTCAAATGAACAATCTCTGCATATCCTCTAGAAAAACAAAAGTTATGGCTTTTGATGGGATAGAATCGATTAGATCCCAATTAGTTGTATACAATTCACTTAGAGCACGAATTATAGAGCAAGTTTCAAGTTTCAATTTCTTGGGATACAAAATTTCATACAGAGGGGAAATAGATATACAAGGGAAAATTGAAAAAACAAATCGTATTAACGGAACAATTCTGAGAACCCTGAAAATAAAGTCGGAAAGGACACTATGATTAAATTATAAAGGGTATTAAGTATACTAACATGTTTATATGGAAGTGAAAATTGAACAATGACCAAAAAAGATAGCACAAAGCTACAAAGTGCTGAAATTAGATTTCTGAGATCAGTAGTTGGTTATTAGCTGCTGGACAATAAAAAAAATCGTAAAGGATTGTAGGTAAGTAATTCGTTAAGGTACGAGTATGTAATCTTCAAGAGAAATCTGATTACTACCGAAATTCCTGGACGCAGCGCATTGAAAGGATGCCAGACAACCGCCCACCGGAAAGAATTCCGCAATACCGCCCACAAGGGTGAAGAAATACTGGCCGCTAGAAGAAGAGATGGAGTGACCAGATGGTAACAGAGGTGTGACAGGCTGTGCCTCAATACATGCAGGGGAAGAAGAAGCTAACTAACGTAACGAGACCATTTACATCGTCTTGACGTAACCGTAGACGAGTTCCCAAGCATTTTTTGACGTTGCGTTTATGTCGGTGTTCTACCGAAGACCAATCAGAGAGCAGAATGAAAGAAACAAATGCACAACAAAATCCGCGAGAAGCAAATAAACGGTTGACTTCAAATTGTGTTAAGGAAGTTTGTGATTATGTCATTTCATTATTGTAATTTACAGAACTAGTTTGCAAACGATTCTGAAGTGTAGTGCAGAGACTAGCACATCTGAAGGTAAATCGCTCCAATCAATAATGGTTCTTTTAACAAAACTGAAGTTTCATATATCCGTTCTTTGTGTTCTACATTTTATTTTGTGCGTGGTCATCTCTACCTTAGTAACATGACATTTCAAGTCTTTCACTGATAACTGTCTATGCCGCTTTTTTGTGTATTACATAAATATGGCACACAATCATGTTGCCTTTCTACTTATAACTGACGATTCCCAATTGACATTCTTACCATTGCACCTCTTATCAAATTTAACCACCTTTTTCTGCACTTGGTTTAGCGCTTGAATCTGACCTTCACTATAAGGATCCCAGTACGCTACTCCCTTTTCCATTAAGGGGTGAACCAAAGACATTTAAGTGTTTGCTTTCGTCTTACAAGTAGCTGGTCGGGTTATTACGCCTAGATATTTACAGCTACGTACCTCATGAATTTCGACCCATTGCGTAATAGAGTGCTTCATATTGTCGAGTGTTCGTAAAACTAATTGTTTTCTTTTATATAAATGTACCGTCGTTCTATTTTCCTGAGACCATTTAAAAAAATCGTCAATTTTGTTTGCAACTGATCAATGTCGGTTTTGACTTAAATTTTTCTAAACACGATGCAGTCGTCCGCGGAAAGTCTGATTGTCGATCGAATTAAGAACCGGTGTCATTAATATTCGTTTCAAAAAGCAGCGGCACTGACATGCTTCTCTGATGAACTCTGGACGACACATTAACCTCGTCGGATAAAAAATCATCAATTCAAACTCCCGTAATATTTCTCCAGATGATTAAAGCTCTAATAGCTACCAAAGGTGGCCTGACAACGAATTAAAGATATACATGTTCATGGATATTTTTTATGAAAATTAGTTTATATATTATACTGACAGTCATATTTTTGCATATGATATCTTGTTTGTATCGTAAGTATTCAATTATTTCTTATGTATTTCCTTAGAAATAAAAAAATACATTTTTCGTCACAAAAACGTGATTCTTATTGAAAATTTAGGGTGCTTCTAATAATATGGCCAGGGACTGTATGTGTTTCTTACAGCACTGAGTGTATCTTCAGTGGGATTCCACCTCTCTGTAGCCAAGTCATTTACGCAGACTGATATTTTCAGAGCATGCTTCTATCGTACTCATTCATGGTATACTATTATTGCCACTCAAGCAGTGTGTTTATTGTAAATTTCATGAACTATACCTTCGCAAAGTGTTACAGTAGTAGCAAATTAATTTGCTGTGTATCTATAATTCAACACAATTATACACATATTAGTTCAAGTCATGTTTTCGGAATTACGCTAATGATAAAAAATTCACAGGAATCCTGTATTTTATTCCATAATTGCAGAGTGTATGTTCACTAGAAATCATACTGGTTCTTCGAGACGTTATTGATGGTAAATGGCCGAGTAGGTAATTATAATAGGGCATTCGCCTGAGCCAGTTAATTGCTAACAAATGTCGGCTCCATCAACCATTGTGGTTGCTTATGCCTGAAACATTTTCACAGACATTAAAGTCTCAACTATCACGGAAAATATCCAAAAGTGCGTGTCCTCTCATTGTTGTCTTGACACAACGCCTAAGCTCTCCACTGGTATCCCGGAATGTGTGGCAGTGAAGTGCATGCAAGTGTAAGTGTATGTAAGCAAGGTATGTAGATAAAGCAAGGAATAAGAGGGAAAGATCGCGCGCGGTCTGAGGGTGTTTATGGTACGGCTCCGGTATTCGCTGGTGTTTATCGCAGACACCACGGGAAACTATCGATCAACGCAGCCGGCCGCTAGAAATTTCCTCCAGACAGTGGCTAAATTCGACCTAGCTCTGTAGTAGTTAGTGTCAAAATCCTGCCACCGTCGCGAGTGGAATCCTAGGACCTCCCACTCGTAGGCACCGTCGTGACATCAATTGATGCCCTGAGTCAACTAAACCGGAGAACTTGCTCAATTTCACAACCTTTTGTGCGCGCGTGAGTGCGTGCGTGTGTATGACAATGCGCGACTACTCACATGTTATTTTCTCCCCAGCTGCCCTGCAAGTGTCGATCTCCGCAGTCGAGAAATATCCACCCGAACTTGCACAGAGCGTCCAGCACTTCAACTATCACGTTCCACGAGGCGACCAGGCGCGGGCGCGGTTTGTAGCGGGTCATGACGACGCCTGACGCTATCAGCCCTAGCCCCGCCGACGTCAATCCAATGGCACCTGTCAGAAAGATTAATGTAGCTTGGTGGCAACGCCAATGTACACTATATATTTTACTGGGAATTAGTATCGCCTCCACTACTACATAAGCGGATTATTAAATGCCCAAATGTTCGCGAAATTCATCTTTTGTAGTTTCGGCGTCTTTCGCCTGTCAAAAGCAACATGAGCTCTGTCCGTAATGAGACCGCAATACATAATTTAGCAAACAAGGAGCTACACGTTGGTAAACATCTTTTAAATTTCAATTCGAAAGAAGGTATTACTCGAGCAACATTTCTTGAATGATGGATGTAAGAAACGCAGGTAGAGTTGGGGTAGTAGTTACGAAATCGGCCACTCGATTTTATGATGCAATGCCAATCTCTGGTGAATCAGTCATGTCTTTCCAAATTTCTCATAATTTGCGTTCCAACTTTCTCAGTAGTTCAAGGTATCTACTGTAATGGATCTTCATCTGCTTCAAGAAAAACAAACGTAATGTTTTAAACAAAGATGAACCTTTAAACCAGTGGTGCTACAATAGCTCAAACTTTCTGATATTACTGAGAAGCAGTTGCATATGTATAGATATTAATGATTTATTATTCGTGCAGAAATTAATCGAAAAAATGCAGCTCCGGCCATACGAGAAGTGTATGGTTTCATTAGATACCCAGAGGCTCGGCGATAATCCAAAAACAACGGAACACTTTCGATTTTGACTGAAAATGTAAATATTTTGTGATATACAGTCCTTTCTCATATTGTGCGAACAGACTAAACTGTCAAATCCAGTACGTTCCTGCTTACGACATACATGAGGTCATACGACAATAAGTCACCAAGAAAGAAGGCGTGCCCAAAAAATATTTGCCAAAGTGTTGCGTTATGGAAAATCTTTTTTTATATTCTTGGTTTGCAATTTATTGTATATTGTCGTGCCCTTACTCTCTCTCACTCTACTTCTTTACTTACACTGGCCTGCGTTTAAAAAAAAGGTTTATGAGGTATACATTTTTCAACCTTTGTTATAGGAAATGACGACGCTGAACTCGAAAATAACATAATTTTTTCTCAATCACAGCTAGTTTTTGTGCTATGGATCCTAAGACTATTACGCATACTGTTTTTACCCATTGGGCGTTTTCGGTTTATAGTGGGTCAATAAATCGATAAAAGACGTTAAAACATCAAAAAATTGGTACCCTCTGTTATTTTTTCTACAATCGCCCCTCCTGATTAATAAATGTGAATTATTAAAATAAATGTAGCGATTTAACCTTTCCTTCAATGTATTTTAAAGTTTTTTACATAAGGTAATTTATTTTAAAGAAATAAATTTTTTGCGCGCCATTTGTTTATATGTGTCTCCAGGTTCATTTCTTTTCAGTCAGCAACAAAAGTCAGCCGTCATGCTGATGTCCAGGCGAACTTGATACATCTCTACCTCCGAAATATAAAATGAAGTCTCTCGACATTATTTGTCTTATAATTTCGTCATGAATAAGTAGTAATATGTTAAATGATACTTTCCTTCCTTCCACACCATACGGATAGCAACATTATATTTCCTTGTTCCATCATCTAAGCCTACTTCACGCATGTTCGACAACATAGCTGTGGAGCAAAGGTCTCGCCCGGATCTTTCATTTTTATATCAAAATAAGCGGAATATCTAGCGTTCATAATTGCTATATTCGTAATGTTTGATCTTTCGCCTGGCAACATCACTTTACCACGTATGTAGCAAAATATATTTGGGTCATTTTTACATTTTCTTCTCATGTAAATTGACGAAATTTAGTAATTTTTGAAGTGTAACTCTGTATATACGTCGGTGGCTCCTTGATTAGCGTGCTTGCTTTCCACGGTTCAACCTGGGTTCGATTCCTGGTCGGGGCAAGCATTAATTGTGTGATTTTCTTGCAGTGTCCCAGTATCTGCTGTTGTGTGATCACTAAAAGATCACTTCTCATTTATTTCATTCTTGTTCGAGCAGGAAATTTCAAAACGGAATTTCCACAAATTTATTTTACATAGATTTGGAAGTCTTGACGTATTGGTAACAAGAAATGTGTAGAAGCTCTTCGTTTCTTGAAGCGATTCTACACAAACGTAAAGAAAGTTTTCTTATGACTACTTTACAAAAATATATCGAGTACCGTGTTTCAAATCTTAAGACTATCTTTTTGAAACTGTATTTCAATGTACACCCTCATTTTTAAAGAGAATTTATAAACAAAGCACTTTCGCACACAGAAGGGCGTATGAGAAATGTATCGATCTAGACTCACAATACCCATGCGGGCCATGCAGATTCGCTAAGCCACGTCTACTAGGAAGACCTTTAGCTCACTTCTCATAAAACAATTCTGAAAGAAATATCGTCACACGTGTCTCTTACGTTGTTAATATTTGCATTAGCGGCGATTTGTTTACATTGTTATATCGAGGTCTACATGTGATGTAAAGTTGATTTTGAGATATTTTTTTCCAAAAATTATACAAATATAATTTTTTTAAAGATTAAACATACTGTTAATAAGCACATTTTCAGCAATTTGTAAACACTATTGTATTTATGAGTTAAAGAGATACAAATTACTTGTTTTTCAAAACTCAAAAGCTTTTTGTGAAAAAGAGCTTCATATTTCGACTTTACAGAAGAGTTTACACGCCATTTTCTGAAAAACTGCTCCGAACTTTTCAACAAAAATTTGCTATTTAGTACGTTTTACAGTTCATTAATATAATTAAAATAATATTTCCGTTCTACAATATGAAAACCGAAATATAAAAAAAATTAAAAATAAATGTAGTTGGGTAGCGATAGAAGGTAGGTGGCAAAAGTATGTGGGAAGTTCGAATAGCTAGTCGACACCAAAGGTAATAGATACAAATACGGAAAAGTCTGTGCCGTTCTGGAGAACCATTAGTTATTTCAGTATTCAAGTACTCGCAATGGCGAATTTTTTCATTTTTACTTTCCTGTGTACGTAGGTATATACGGAATAATATACATACTGTAGGAAAAATTATGTAGTGCAGCAGAAAATCGATTTCGAGATTTCAACGGAAATCCACGTTTTGGGGTCCCCTTGTTCAATACAAGTGTTTGTCTAAACGCCTGGCGGTCAACACCTCTAGAGCCTAAATCATGGGTAGGATTTTTTCCAAATTGGAGAAACCCATGTCCATTTGGCCTGAGTCGAAGCTCAGCTATTTTGAAAAAGAAACGTTCATAAATATTTGGAAGTTCTTTACATGAAGTTTCCCGGACATTATGAAAATTCTCAAACATAGCTCCCAATTTTTTCTTTAAATTTCTTGTAAGAATAGAGTAAAATACACTTCTAAAGGTGGCGTAGGTCCGATTTTCACGGTTAACTCTGAATTTTTGAAAATTTCAAGTTTGAATTTTTTAGGGATCTTCCTACAACTACAAAATTAAAGATATAATTTTTCCTTGAAATGAAATTTCTTGTCCATAATTTGTTCTTTCATTAAAGTTATTCACATGCTTTTGATTTTTTTGTTTTCGCACAATATTGAGGAATTTTAAGGAATTACAAAAACAAGATTTTCTCAGATATGGTTCCTTTTTTCTTTAAATATTAGGCTGGGTTGTGCTAAATGCACTTTATAAAATGACATAAACAGCATATTGCTCTTTTCTTTTTTCAAAAATTACAAAAAAATAATTTTTTGACTTGTTTTTACGTTGTTATTATTTATATTAGACGCAATGTGTTCTCATTAAAATGATAATAATGTTAGTAATGATAACAATAAAAGAAATATATACAGGGTATTTCAGTCCTCGTTGCTAATATGCCAGAAATGTATCCCTTATGAAATGTACAAACTTAATTTACCAAAATTAGATACTCTTCATCGTTTAATTTTGTAAATAATTAACTTTGGACTACGCGCGTGTGCTATTGCGAGTGTAACACGGGCTATTGCGAGTGAGTGAGCTTTAATACTTCGCGTTATGGCTAGCCAGCTCTCTGAAAAACTCAGTTATTAATACCATCCCTTAAGGCCCCAAAGATAGCGCGTAAGGTCAACACATCACAGTCACTGACGAACAATTCATGCAGTGAGATTTCGACTTTTCCATTTCCAGAGGGTGCAGTAGAGACTTGCAACGTCGATATAAATTCTCGAAGCATTTTCTACGCAAATGGAAGGAAAAACAGAAATTTCTCAAACCCTTATTTGGACAGATGAAGTGTGTTTTAAAATAATTGGAAGAATAAATGTGCATTATTTGCATTTGTGAGCCGAAAAAAATCACATTTGCTCTTCGCTTAGTTCATCAAGGGTGATTCTCTGTAACTGTGTAGGTTGGCGTCGTAGATGAAGTTACCGTCGGTCTTTCCTTCTTACCCGAATGTTTCAGAGGCATTCAGTATCTGAATTTTATGATTCAGGTACTGCCTACGCTTTTGGAGGACGTCGCGTTCTATTTGAGGACACAGATGTATTACCAGCATGAAGGCGTACCGCCTTTTATCATGGAGTTCCGGAATACCTAGATATGCAATTTCGAGATGGGTGGATGGTTCGAGGAAGCCCAATAGCACGGTGCCTCGGTTTACGGATTTGAATCTGCTGGGCTATTTTTTTCTAGGGGTTAATGAAAGCCCGGGTTTATGCTACTAAAGTCGTGCATTGTGATAGCTTTCCGTGCATTGAAAGCGTGGCGGCAGAAATAAAGGGACGACTCGGCAGAGTTGCGCGCGTCAGGGAGGTCGAGTGCCACATATGCCGATCTTGCGTTCACGCAAGAGGAGGTCATTTTGAACCTTTGTAGATCCCCTGTTACACAAGGTGAAAATGCGAAATTGTGGCTGTATACGCAAATAATAAATTATCCTAAATAACACTTAAATAATATTTTTCTTTAACCTTTCATATTCATTTGATAAGTACGCGATAATAGCATCAGCAAACTATATTCAATGTAATATTTGGGCTTTGTACAAAAAATGACCAATGACAATTTTTTTTCA